GCAAAAGGGTTTCTTTGTACATTTTATTAAAATTTTGAAATTGAATTTTATTCTTTGAAAATAGAAAAATAAAACATGTACTGTGCATTTTCAAAAAATTTTCAAAGAGAAGGCATTCAAATAATGTAAAACGTTACTAAAAGCCATCCTTATGATCAAGTAGCTTATTATTTCCGTTACGAAATTCATTGAAATTCTCGTTTACTTGATGATCGAGCCCAGGTTTTAAAAATATATTAGAATTTTCCGATTTCGATTCAACATACTTTCAGAAATATTGAAATAAAATTTATTCAATTAAACAAAAATACATGAATGTAATAAGATTCTTATAAAGGGTGTCGGAGACTCAATGGTACTCCCAAAGCAAGATGATAGAATGTTTTTTTTCTGAAGTTATGAGGGTTTAAAGTTGAAATTTTCGAAAACCAACTAATTTTTGCGTTTTTACTGATAATTCGGAAAGTATGACATGAAAGCAAAAGTAAAATTTGTATAGTCATTTTGAAGCTCATGAAAATCTTTTTATATATATACATATACATATATATAAAATAAATACTCGGACTCATAAAATTTTCCCTTTAATGACCATAAAATGTTAAAACTAATATTTTATGCTTTGTTTTTCAAAGGTAATTTCAACTTGAAATAAAATTTTCTTTATTTATTTATTTTAAGTATATATACATATACATATATGTATGTAAAATGCAGTGGGTCCTTTTATAACAGCATTACTAAAAACAAATATTTATTTGTCTTATTTACGTCATTTTTTGTAAGCATGTATATGCATACTCGTATTTCAACAAAACCAAAAAACAAAAACCCTGATACTCTAGTCACTAGTGTATTTTAGAGGAAAAAAAAAGAAGCATTGTTAAAAAAGTTCATTTTTCGTGCATCCTACCTTGTATATAATTGTATATGTGGCAGTAACGAGAAAGGTAAAAATAAGCAAATACCCAAATCGACAATCAATAATATGAAAAACGTTGATTCTTCTTCTGTGTTACAATGTTTTCATTGGGATCCTAGATGGTTCATTTTTATGATCTCATATTTGGTGTACCATCGTTCATTCTTATACATTAATATGAAATTTTTGATTTTTTTTTGTTCCTTTTTGTCAAAATATTAATAGTAAAATGCAATTTCTTTGTTTTACAACACACAAATATTGTAATGAAATTTACGTGTATTAAGAGTACCATTGACGATTCACACACGCACGTACTCACATACATATGTGATAAGAATCACATTTGTTTTGAGTTTTCAAATTATAAATTTTTTATCAGAATTGAAAAAATATTAAGAAAAAATAAAAATAAAATTCTATATTTATATTTTCCTATATCCTTAGAAGTAAAATTGAAAAAAAAATAGACGAACAACTTCTTTAATAGTTTTGTTTTGACGCTTTCGATTTCTTTTGGGGTTTTACCATAAAAAAGAAAAAAAAAAATTTCATTTGGTGTTTTTTTTTTGTTTATTCTTTTTTACTTTATTATTTTATATGGGTGTAATAAGTTTACCGTTAAGCTAAAATAACAACATGAAAAGGATCTTCTCTTCTCTACTTATCTTTTTAAGGCAAATAATACTGTAGTATATGAATGTTGTTGGCAACCAAGTATATTTTCATGTATATACGGTTGAATTAATAATTTTTCTACATTTATATTTTGTTCTTATATTTAAAATGCACTTTTGTTTTTTTTGCAAAAACTATAACTAAATTTTTTTTTGTTGTGTTGAAATCGAATATTATAATATTATGTCTGCAAGAATATTTACTTAAGATCCTTACAAATATATGTGTGTAACATATATTGAGATATGAAAAAGACGAGAATGAAAATGACTTGTAGGTAATGATTAAAATTTAAGTGTTTCTGGGAAGCACATTTTATATATAGAAATTTTTAGGATAAAATTGAATTTTACATACAATTTTTTCCATTAGATTTCCATTGTCACATGAAAAATACAATATGGTCTAAAAAAAAGCAATGTAATCCTCATGTAATTGGCAGGTTGAGGAATTTTTTATTAGAATAATTTTTTTAAATTTTATAAATGCTGAACTATGTATTTGAAATATTCCAGAATTTTCCGATTTATATAAAATAGTCGATTTTCGAAATGATGTTCTCTTTTAAAACGAGAAATTTTCTCTTTGTAACAATTATTACCTAACATTTAAACACACTCGCCCCGGACCTAGATTTAAATCGTGTATAATTACACATATAATTTTTTTAAATTTTCTGTGTATTTTTTAAGCGCGTTTTTTGGGTAAACTAGCAGGGATTATAGACTATATTTAGATTATAGACTATTAGTTCTTGACGAAATTTTTTGAATCAAAATATTAATTTATATAAGAAAATGATCCTAACATTGAATGATTTGGGTAATATAAAACTTATATGAATAATTTATATGAAGCAAATAAGTGCAAAATAAATTAATAAAAAAAGTGTAGGTATTTTATAAAAGAATATGTATATTATTAGAATAAAATTATTAATAATTATATGTATTACGAAATAATTAAATAGAATTTAATAAAATTTCAATAGTCCTTTTTTTGTTAATTTTTCTCATTTCCACACTTTCTTACTAAAATTTTAACAGTTTTACCATACCTAGTATCAATTTTTTGAATAATTAATCTGGGTGTAAATAGAGACCTCAATTGTCTATGAATTTTTCTACCAGTTCCTTACAACTTTCATTTAATTCAATTCTAATTAAAATTCTTTCCTTTTTTAGAATTTTCAACCGTAAATTGTTTAAGATTTTTTTCAATTTAATTAAACTGGCCAAATATCGACTCTATATACTAAAATTAGTAATTAATAACATTGTGATATCAACTATAAATTTCATATTTTCAATATAGTTCGTTTTTATCGATTATTTTGAATTCAGTCAGTATAAGTGAAGTACAAAAATTTTATTCTGAGTAAGCACAAATGACTAAAAAATTCATTCAAGTATTTTTTAAAAAAAACTAATTTTTGCCTGAATTGAAAATAAAAAAGGTTGAATAACAATCAATAAAAAAAAAATACTCATTTCATCTCTTCTCTATACTTTGTTTCCTTTTTCTTTCTTTTTTTTGGTGGAAAAACATTATATAGAATTTAGCTTGAACTTTAAAGCCAAAAATGAAGAAGAAAAATGGAAAACCATAAGAAATCAAACAAAGTGTTAAAACAAAAGACGAAGGTTTTGAATTTTTACTAACTTTATAAAATCGTTACTTTCTTTTTTTTTTTACTTATATCTAAATTCCAAAAACATGCAATCAGGTTCTTATGTTGTTTCTTTTTTCATTGTTGTTTTATTTTCTCCTGAATATAGTTAGTAAGTAGTTTTATAATCTTATCGAATTTTTATTATCCTTTTTTATATAATTTGTATGCATGAATGTATTATTATTTGTGTATGCGATTTTTTCTTGTTGTTTTTTTGTTAGTATTTTTTTGATGTTTTTATAATAGAAAATTAAGTTACATTATGCATGTTTTGTATATCGTTCTTAGATCCTATTACTGACAGAAAATGAAATTTAAAACAAAAATTATTTTTATTTTTATTAAGTTGTTTTTGTTTATTTTTTTTTATGTAATTTTCAAAATATATTCATAATATGTGGATATACGAGTATATACATGTTTTCAATAGAGAGAGTACTCTTACTGCAGAGTTGTTATAAATTTTAGATGTTTATATTAAGTTTCTTGTTTTATTTGAAAGATTCTTTGCTTGTTTTAAGATTATAAATTTTTTTTTTTATCTTAAAATAAAGATTACATTAAAAAAGTTTTATTTTTATTTATAAAATAAAATTATTGAAATTTTAAAAGAATAATATTATTATTTCTTGTATTTTGTAGCAATAATAAATTTTAATGAAAAATATTACAAACTTTAATCTACTAAAAAAAATGCTTGCATTTTTATGAATAATTTAAAAGAAAAGTTGTTTAAAACTAATAGATTGTAAGTATATAGATAATAAGTATTCAAGGAATTTATTTTAAAAATGAATTTAGTGCTTTTAAATGTTCTATAAATCATTAATAAATTATGAAAATTTGGACTTGGTTCTTAATATTAAAGAGATATTTAATTTTGAGTGCAGTTCAATTACTTGCAATATTTTGGTTTTTATTAAATTTAATAAAAAACATGTGAATTTGGTAATGATTCAAATTCCAGTGTAGTTCAGCTTACAATATATAGGAGAATTTTTAAAATTTATAGAGCATTTTTAAATTTCAATTAAAAGATAGAAATATTATAAATTCAAAAAAAATGTTTGAATTTTTTTTTAATATTTAATTTATTTCCCAAAAATAATTATTAAAGAAAACAAGAGATTTTTCATACTCCCCAAAGAAAATAATTTAGAATAATTAAATAGCATGATCTTGTTAGTCATCATGACAGGTCTAAGCCTTGATATTAATCGAATACATTCATAATTAATTTCATTAAAATTAACAATTCCATTGAGTATTTTAGCAGCTCTTTGATAGTAATAAATAGTTAATTTTGTTAAGTGTCTTTTGGTTAATTTTTACGAAAATTAAAGGATGTAAATACTTAATTGAATTTATAGAAAATGAAATGGAAATTTTATACCGAGAAATAAGTATAAGATTTGATTTGTTTAAAAATTACGGATCTTGTAAGGAAAATAAATTTATTAATGAAACAATATGAATACGCTGAATAATGAAACCAAATCCTAGAATTTACCTAAACATTTTAGTATTGGTTGAATTATAAAGTATTTATATGATTTATTTCTTATTTAATTGAAAAGTAGTATGAAATATATTCATTTATTACACTTAAAAATTTAATAAATTTCATTTATCTATTAAAATTAATTTAATTGATTTTTTAAATTTTATATTTTATTTTTTATATATTGTTTTTTAATAAAAAAAATTTCCGTATTATTTTCATTTCAGATGGAAGATGAAGGTAATCATGGTAATGATGATACACGTTTATTTATATTATCGTCATTAGCACAAAATCAAAAAAGTCGTGTTGCATGTATCCTTTGTGAAGAAGCAATGTTAGTATTTGATCGTTATCCACTTGTTGATGGATCATTTTTCTTGAGTCCAAAACAGCATGCTCCAGGTTGTATTGAGGTAAGAGATTTCTTTTAAATTATTTCTTATTTTTTTTTATGCCAATTTAAATTTTTGAAAATGATAACAACATTTATTGCTCATATTATTGTACATAAGTATAGCAATATTTGAAAAGGTTAACAAATTTATTCCTAAACAATTTTTCCTTTTAAATATAAAAAGAACCTACAGCCCTCTAAAAATCATAAATTTTTAATTATTTTAATAAAAAATTTTTGATTTCATTTTTCACGTTCACACATACATACATGTAATATGTATGTAAATACTTTACATGTTAAAATGTTAAAATCTCTTTAAAATTTCTTAAATTTAAAAATTTCAAAACAAAAATGTAAAAAGAAAAAAAAAACAAAAGTTATTTGTTGATTTGAGAAGACAAAAAAAACATCATTCTTTATCCTTATAAGTATTTAAAGTTCACAAAAAATATGTGACTTCTTTTTTACATAAACGTAGACAGTTTCTTACAAGTTCAAGCTTATGCAACAATAGGATTTTAAGATATGTAGAAAAAAAAAATTTGTTTTTCAAGTATATTCAAAATTTTGATCCCTAGCATACTTACATCTACTCAAGAGATTTCATCAACTTCATAAATATTTCTTAGAAAAATATCAAAAGCATTATTGTCATTATTATTTAAAAATTATTTATTAACAAAAACAGCAATAAAATAATCACAAATTTTAAATAGAATTTTTAAGTATATTATTGTCGAATTTATGAGAATATTTTTTAATGTACTTATTAAAAATTTGAAAAATAAAAACCTAGATAATATTTTCGTCTCATTATTAAGATTAACAATTCTAATCTATATCACTTGCTGTTTGTAATTAAAAACTTCGCGATAAAAGGTTTTTTTTCCTTACAGAAATGTTGAAAAAAAAAAATTATTAAAGAAATTTAATGAATAATGGTTGCTTAGTAATTTAATTAAAATTTTCATATCATGTAATTATTAAATATAATTATAATATTAAAAATTTTCTTTTTAATTGAAATGTTTTTGAAAGAGAGAAACATAATTTGTGCTTCTCAAAGAAAAAATGCATTTTTTGCTCATAAATAATAAATTTGTATTAATTTTCTTAAAATAATTAAACTATTATTTCACTTTAATTTCGTTTAAAACATTTTATTAAATAAATAAAATTAGTAAATTAATAGTTTTTTATTTCTTAATTTAAAACTTTTGTTAAACAATATTATTTTCACTAGTTATTTTAATGACTTTAAGGATGAAAAGCAATGAAAATATCATGATACGATATGTACAATGTTGCCAGTATCTTATTTACAATATTATTTAAAATTTCGTTATAAAACCAACAATTCACACTGGATGAGAGAAATTTTTTTCTTGCATGATCTCATGCTTATTTGTTTAAATGCATACGTAAATATAGAGTAATTGTTATATGCATAATATGTTATGAATTAAAAATAAAACATGAATTTTATTTGAAAATATTCATAAAACAAAATATGAAGAAATGCAATCGCAGATTTTCATCTAAAAAGATTATAAGTCAAAATGTCATGTCACGATATTTTTTGAGTTTTTCTTTTTGTGTTTGTTACTTTGTAGACAAACAACAAACAGTCAAAATTTTCATGTTGAAAAAATTTTACAAGTACTCTTTTGTGCTTTATTTAAAAAATATTGTGACACATAAAAACTAGATTTATTGCTATTGTGAATACAAATGTCATAATATGAAAAAAAATTCTTAACGTAAAATATTAAGTGAAGAATTTTTAAACGGAATTATTAATATTAAAATCGATCAATTATTTTATATTTTTAGAAAACAAAAGCAATTTTATAAATATATAATAAGAAAATTACATTTTTATCAAAATTTATTTAGAAAGGAGATAAATTATGATATTATAAGCGTGAGACTTAGTCTTTTAACTCAATTTTAATTTATTTGCGCTTTGCCATAAAATTTTTCTAAAAATATTTAAAATATATTAAATTATAATTTGAACGAATATTTTATTTTTGAAAATAAATTTATATTATTTATTAGGTTAAATATGAAGGACACACCCAATATTTAACGGCTGTATGCATGGGCTGCTTAGATGGGAACTCTTGTAATCGTGGTATTTATTGCAGGTACATAATTATTTTTTTTTCCACTTACATCTTATTATAATGTATGTATGTATTGTTAAAAATAAAACTTTGTTTATTTTATGAAGATTTTGTGGTGAAAGATGGGATGGATCATCTTTAGTTCTTGGAACTATGTATTCGTATGACATTTTTGCTGCTATGCCATGTTGTGCTGAAAGATTAAAGGTAATAACGATTTTTTTTTCGGTTTCTTCAATTTTCTGACAAAAAAAATAACATAATTTTTTCTTATTTTGTTAACAGTGTAATGCATGTTTTAAACTGTTACTCCATCCTCAACAGCGATTAAACTTTTACAGTGATTATAGTCACTGTGTTACGTGTCCATTTTGTACAACACAGGATACTCATTTCGTGAAACCATTGGGATATTGTTACACTAAAAAATCTATTAAGGCCGGTATTAACCTCCCATAACATGAAGCCCTGTTGGAATCTCCAAATTCTACCATATCAATGTCGACGAATTCAATGACAATCGATTCAGCTGCAGCAACAACATTAGATCCAACAGCATTTCATATTGATGCCGGTGGTTTTATCATTCCCAAACTAATAACAACAATACCAGGCGGTCATCATCCTTTACATGAAAAGCTTGGCGCCTCAGCAATCGATTATACGGCACCAATGCCACCAACAGTTGCAACATCAACCAGTTCAATAAATACAGCAACAAATGCCGCTTATATGAATCAAGTAAGATTACAACTTCTTACTTCAATAAATACTGGTAATTCGGTATCTGCAAATCCGATAACTGCTCAATCTACACCGATTCCATTTAAATCAGCAACGTTGAATGATAATAATTCGTCGTCATTGGGAACAACATCGAACTCTACTGTAACTTCATCAGTATCTAGTTCCGTATCTGCAACAAATAATAACTTAATTGACAAAAAATTAATGTTATTAAATGAGTTAAAAATACAACAACAAAAACAATATATAAATGCAGATTGTAGTAAAGTAGGAGATTCCAACAGTATTAATAATATTTTACAAAATCAACAACAATCGCAGCAACAAAATAATGTTAATCCTAATGATAGTAGTAATATAAATAATAGTTTTAATCTAAATAATATTAAAACTTTATGGGGTAAATCAGTTGGAAATTCAACTTTAGCTGCCATTAACTTATGGGGTATTCCGCCCCCGTTAACACCAACTTCAACATCGACATCACCACTACAAAATTTTAGTAATAGTGATTCTCAGTTGCTATTAACCCAAATTCAACAACAACCACAACAACCACAACAACAAAACTCAAATCAAATAATTCCACAATCTTCATTAAATAACAATGCATCACATACACCACCCAGTTCCTCATCACCAAAATCTACATCCTCATCTATAATATCATCGATTTCGTCATCAATTAATAATACACCATCACAACAATATCACAGTGCCGCTAACAGTATTGGTAGTGGTTGTAGTAAAGATTCAATTTGGATGTCAAATCAATCATCACCTAATAGGGAACAAATATTTTTTACGCCACCGCCAACACTAATACCACAACAACAACAATTGCAAAACCAGTCAAATTTAATGCAATTATCGCTACAACCAAATTTAAATGATTTAAATGCACAATCAGCAAAAATAAATATTAATAGCAATAATAATAATAATAATAGTAACAATCTAAAAAATAATTTACAAACACAAAATTGGGACAACACTCCAATTTTAACCAAACTATCGCAAACTTCAAATGGAGAATTGATTGGCAGTGGTACAATATGGTCAGCTTTACCTGTTACAAATGCAAAATTACCACATAACAGTTACATTAATGGTAAAATACCAAATTTGTGGGATAATGTTGCACAAACTAAAAATAATACTGCTAATAGTAACATTGCTCAACAACAATCATTGTTGTTGCAACAACAGCAACAGCAATCAAATTTACGTCATGACACTTTAAATTCTAATTCTAAATTATCTGATCTCTGGCTAACACCAACAACAACATCATCATTATTACAACAGCAACAACAACAAAATCAACATTTGCAACAAAATATCGTTGATGTTGGTATTTCTCAGCAACAACAGCAATTGAATTCCATTGATTCAATTAGTTCTCTATGGTCAAATAATATTAATTTAAATAAAAGTAAAAATTTAAATAATGTGATCAATAATAATAATAATAACAATAATTCTAACGGTAATATAAATAATAAGCAATTAATTTTATTAAAATCGAATGGCAATCTGAGACCACTAACAGGCGGTACATCTCAACAGTTTATGCAACAACAACACCAACAAAATTCAACATATACAACAACCATAAATGATAACAATAACATTTTAACAAATAAGCCACAATTATCAAGGGAATTATTCCCTTCCGTAACAAAATTGGCTTCAAGTAATCATCAGATTGATTCAATATCATCAGAAAATAATTCGTCTGAAACATCAACATCTTCATCATCAAATTGCATGCAATTATTCTCCGATGATATTATTAATTACTTAAATATGATTAATTAAAAATTAAAAATTACTAAATTTCAATAAATGATACAAGAAGATATGATATATATACATGATATATCTATATGTTATACAAATTACAATTTAATTAATTTAAATACATATTTAAAAATTTTAGAAAAATGAAGAAAATATAAAGTATTTTGAATGAAAAAGAAGAATAAACATATTAATGAGAAAGTATTTAATAAAACAAAAAAAAAGAAAATTAATTATATATGGAAAAAAATTAATAAGGAGAAAAAAAAACTATTTACTTTTAAAATAAATATATAATTATAATTTGAAACAGAAATGTACCATTTCAATTACTCGAGAATTATAATATTGTTCTTAAATTTCGATATTTGAATTATGCGATTGTTTCAAATTAATTATACATTTAAATATTTTTAATTTTTTTTTTGTTTTTGAAACTTAATGTTTTTTTAATCTTAATTTTCAAATTTTATTTTTTCTTCGATATTACAATAATAAAATACTTTTTGAATATAAAAATCAAGTTAATTTAAATTCAATAAATGAAAAAATAAAAAAACAAGAATAATATGTATTAAAATAAATATTTTACAATAATAAAAAAAAAAACATAAATGAAAAAAAAAACCTTAAAGAAATTTTTTTATAGCAAATTGAAATATTTTTAGTTAATTTTATTTTATTAATTATAATTAAATTTATTTTACTTGTTTTCAAATAGAAAAAGAAAAAAACAAACATATGAATAATATTAAAATATTAATAAATTTTCTTTAAATATAACAATTTTTTTATCTATGGCATATTATTTTCATAATTATTAATTAATTTAATTAAAAAAGAAAGTACATATTTGAAAAAACGAAACAAAAAATCATATGTATTTAAAATATGAATTTTTACTCAGGGATATAACAATTAACTTTACTTGCTTTGCTTGAAATACAGTAAATATAATATTTTAACAAAAATAGATTGAATAATAAAGTAATCTTTTAATTATTTTTTTTCATATAAAAAACAATTAAATTTTAATTATAACTTATAATCGTGCCCATTAAGTTTAGAGAAAACATATTTAATAATTGATTTTTATGATTTAATTTTTTTTTTTTGGCTAAACTGATTCACTAAATTACCTTTAATTTTTCTGTGAATCAAAATGTTTTTAGTACAAAATTATTTTGAACATTAAATATAAGAAAAAACAAAATATTTTAAATCATAATTATTAATTATGTGAATAATATGTCTTAAGTATTAGAAATTTTTAAATAATTTAAATGAAATGCAAAATTAATATTTATTTTCTTTGAAGAAAATTTTCTAGAAAAGAAAAATAAGAATTTTTTATATTACTATTATTAGTTTTTTATACTTATATATAACTACATTATATATGTATATATTTTAAATAAAATATTTGTTAATTAGTTAACTTTTTCTCGTTTTGTTTTATTTTTTCCCTCTTTATTTTTATTGCGTGGATTTTTTTTTGTTTTTGATTTTTTTAGTTAATTTTTTTTTGTATATTTGTTTTGTTTTATTTTTTCAGAGATATTATTAAATATAATAAAATTACATTGAATTTTTTTTTATTTTGGAATAAATTTTAAATGGTAATGATTTATAAGGAACAGTAGTATTTAATGTAATTTAATCTACAATTTAGAAAAAAAAACTTGTATTTACTTTTTTTTTTAAATATTGTCGATTTTCCTTTATTTGTGAATAGAAATTATATGGTTAGTAAAAAACATTTAAGAAGTTAACATGATTTGAAATTAATAACATAAAAACTACATCAGTTCAATTAGAAAAAAACTATAAAATCCAATTATATGAAAAGATTTTTCAATTTTAATTATATTTTCATCATTAAACAACAGTTCTATTGTGTGTACAAAATAGTATTCGATTATAATAATATAATTTTTTTAATTAACAAAAATTTATTATTAAATTTTATTTTAACTAGTTTCAATATATTTGTCAAAATTTCAACATAAACAAAATATGTTCACAATTTTTTTTTGTTGATTTTCGGCATTTTTTTTTTGTATCTCAAAAGTTTACAATAATTATCGATTTATTTTCTCAAATTTTATTTATAATATATTTGTATAATTTTTAAAACTACCATTTGCATTTTCTTTTTAAATATTAAAAATGTAAGTACATATATTTATATATATATAAATATATATATAAATATATATATATATTTATATATATATATATATAAATATATATATATATTAAAATATTTGTTTGATTTAAAAGTAGATGTTGTTACGTTATTTTTATATAATTTAAAATTAATTCATTTTCTTTATATCATTATTTTTATAATAATTAATTTTATTACAATATTACTATATCGTTTTTAGTTTTAAATAAAATATTGAATACGGTTTTTTTTTTAATTTGCATTTTATTTTATTTTTTTTATATATCTATAAATTATTAAGGATAATAAAATATTATGTTACAAATATAACATAAACAAAATTAAATGTAGCTACTTTTTTATGTGTTAATTTATAAAATAATATTTTCAAAACCTTAAAATGAATTATACTACTTATTAAATAAATTTAAAGAACAGACGAAACTGTGTTGTAATTTTAATTAATAAAATCTAAAAACCTATATACATATATGCACTATAACGCATGTAAATGTTTAATTAGGTATATATACATAATATCCAAAATTAAATAATAAAACAATTTTATTTAAGTTAGAAATTTAAGTAAAATGTTTGCATTAACAATAATTAAATCAGAAAAGAAAATTAAACAAAAAATCTAAATATTAAATTTAAAAATGAAATAAGTTTTTTTTTTATTTAAATTAAACAAAAACTTTGAAAATAAAAGATAAACTTAGTATAAAAGTTGAAAAATTAATATAATAAATTAAAAAAATGAAATGAGAAGCATAAATTTTTATAAGTATTCAAGTATTAATAAGAGTTCTTTTTATACATTTTTTATATTATATTATATAAATATAATAATATACATAGGTATTTATATTTATATTCAATATACAAGTAGATTTACATAGAAGTATAATATTAAAATATAATCAAGGAAAGAAATCTAAACAAAAAAAAATTAACAAACCCATGAAAGGAAATAAATAAAATTACATATATGTAAATTTCCTAAAATTTGATCGTTAATAAATAATAATAAAAAATGGTTAAGAGAAGTCAAAAACAATTGCCAAAAAAACTTCTTTATTTAATCAAGAATAAAAAAAAACAAATATTTAAATTATTATATACAAAATATATTATTTTAAAAGCAAAATATTTTAATAGAACAATTTAAACATTAATTTTTAAAATTATTATAATTGTTTTGCTTTTAAAAAAAAAGAAAAAAGGTATTTGAAAGAAAAAAATAAAACACAAAGTTTACTTTGAAATATTTTTTCATTTACACACAAGTCTTTTACATATATAGAAATAATATATCAAATATATTATATAAAATTTTTTATTAAATATTAAAATAAATCGTGTTTTTATATCATTAAAAAAAATTATAAAAAATATTTATTCTGATATATAAAATAAAAAATATAAAGTAAAAAAATCGTAAACAATTAAATTTTTGTTTTCTTATATTTAAAACTATTCTAACAGAATTCTACTGTACATTTATATAAAAGAAAATAAAAATAATACATAAATTTAAAAAAAAAAATAAAATTCATAATTGAAAAAAAAAAACCACTGTAAAGAAACATCAATTAAAAAATTTTCATTTTAAATTAAGTAAAAGCTTAAAAAAAAAAAGAGAAAAGATAATTAAAGCAATATTTTATAAATTTTCTTCAAATAATTTATATAATAATGTTTGTATTCCAATTTTTACAATATAAACGAATAAAAAAAAAATTATGTGTAGAGCTTATTTTCTTTTCTAATAGATGTGCTAAATATTATAAAACAAAAATAATTTATTATTATTACTATATTATCGTAAATAATATTATATATATATATAATTTTTTTTAAATATGTATATGTATATATCATACGTATTCAGTTTACAAAATTTCTTTATATATATATAATATTAATTTTAATTTCTATGTACTTATAATATAAGTACTGATTAAATTGGAATTTAATATGATCATAAAAATTTAATAACAAAAAAAATATTTTTATATTGTCTTGTCTAAATTACGGTTTTTCATAAAAATTTTGTGAAATATCAATGAAATTTAAAATCAATTCACAACACTAATGGCAAAAATTTTGGATTTTTTATAATATAAAAGATAAAGCATCATTACATTTTTATTATATATAAAAATTTCCAAAATTATTACTATGAAATTTGAATTTATTTGATATTATAATAATTTCTTTTATAAATTCTCAGAAAACAGTAATTTTTTTTTGGTATTTATCAAAATTATTTATTCTAATTATAATATAATTGCGACTAAAGTAAAAAAAAAACAAAAGAATTTATGTAAAAAAGTAATTTGTATTAATTGAAAAATATATAAACTTAATATGTATACATATAAGACATGTACATATAAATGTAATATAATTTTTTTTTATTTTTAGAATTTAAGATTTGTCTAAGGTCAGCCCAAAACAAAAAAAAAAGAAGAGAAATTTAAATAATTTTTGATTTAATATACATATAACTATACTATAATATTTTTTGAATTTATAATCTTTGTTTTTATTTGAATTTTTCTTTTTTTAAATATTGGAAAATTTTTCGATATTAACTATAAAAATAATAATATATTAAAATATAATTGTAATGAAATCATGTTATAAAATAAAATTCCTAAATTATTCCTAATTTTGATTTATGTATCTGTTTTATTTTGGGCTATATTATCTGTTTTTTGCTCAAATATTTTTAATTTTGTTTTTTAAATAAAAAAAAATTAAATTAAACCAAATAAAATGGCATTTTTACAATTTGGTTATAGAAAACAAATAGAAAAAAAAAATATATATATACATATATTCAGTACAAATTATATGTTTATATATATGTATATGTAAAAATAATGTCAACATATTAATTAAATTAAATATTTGAAAAAAAATTTAAATTATATTATAAAATATTAATTAATTGCATTTATTCAGATAGCCGTTGCCCGCAAATACAATCCGTATTAAAAATTGAGCCATATTTCTAAAATTAAAAAAAAAAATCTTAGTTTTTAAAATATAATTTTTGAAATTTTGAAAATTTAAATTTTTTTATTTTAAAATTTTTTGCAGTTGTGTCACAGTTCACAATCATGTAATTCTTGAATTTATGTTATTAATATAGTTTTAAAACATCAAATTTTGTTCACTTCTAAATTATATGAACAATTAAAAAGAAAAAAAACAATAATTATGCGATTCCGATTCCGTAATAATAACAATGTGGAAGATTAAACAATGTGAACATTATTAAATGATAATTATGTTTAAAGAAGTTGCAAATTATTCTTACAATTTTAATTTTTTAGGATGGAAGTATTTCTCGTTTTTTTGTTTTTTTTTGTTTGGCAAATTAGCTTCAGATTAAATAATAATTATACTTTTTGATCTCATAAAAAACCAAATATATGTATATATATATTTTTCATGAATATTTCTTTAATTTCAAAAATTTTATTTGCATTGTTGTTAAAAATTAATTTTCAATTTATTTTTCATTTAATTTGCTGATAATTATATATGTATTTATAATTTTCTTTGTATAAAATCGATTTTAAATTTTTTTTCTTTCATTTTTATAAAACTTAATTCTGTTTTCGATTTTGTGAATTTATTAATTTTCATATTCAAAGTTAAATTAAAAGATTTCTTGTTCAGAAAGGCATTCATATAGAATTAAACAATTTTTTTTCTGTGTAGAATACAATTAAAATATTTTGAAAAATTGCCATAGAAGTTATTATTATAACATCCATATTGCTTGTAAAGCAAATTTTAAAAGCTACAAACATATTTGATATTATTTTCTAATCAATATTTTTTCTCATTTTGATACAAACTAAACCTAAATGAATTCTTACTTTACAAAAAAAAAAATAAATAGCAAAATTATATTATAATATAAAATAGAAAATAAAATAACAATGTATGAATTAACAAAAGAAAAAATAATATAGAATCCAGTGATTTTTATGTGATTTTTGATTTCCTATTTAGATTCTTATTTAGTTTTTTTTTCTGCATACACACACATAAATACTAAAAACAAAGAATGTATATTTTACTGTCTTCATTGTGTATAATATTTATTATTGATACCGACACAAATGAATATTATATAAATGTTTTTATGTAAAATTTAAAAAACTCAAACGTTTAATTAATGCAATTATTATTTATTGTAATAAATAATAAAACATCTTGTTGATTTATTCATTCTCAAATAATTCAAATTACAAAATTTGTTTTTGATTACTAATCATAAACTTATGAAATATTATGTAGTTAATTTTATTTTTTCATAAAACTCTTAATTCTAAATAATATTTTTGATTTTTCTTATAACTTTTTCTTTTTTCGTAAATATAACAATCAATAAGAAAACTATATAATATAGCTTATATAACGTATTTTTTTTTTGTTTAGATTTAAAACATCATTAAACACTAATATTTAAATATTGTAATGTTAAAATTGTTATTTAAATACAAGTTTTTTTTCTGTTGTTTTTGTTTCTGTATAAATTAAAACATACGTTAACGTAAAGCAGGATAGTTCACAAATTTTTGTTCCTAAAATTAAATAAATTTTTCTTTTGAAAGTCTAATACTCCTTGTAAGATGGTAAATAATATAAATAAGAACAAAAGGGATTAGGGTTTGGAAATATGAAGTTGAATTAAAAATTATTTTTATGTTAAAATTCACGTTTCATAACGAGATCATTTTATTAAAAAAAAAAACAAAAAGTTAAAAAAAGAAAAAGGGAAAAAAAAGTTTTTATAAATATTGAAATGTTAAAAAATATGGAAGATAAATATATATATATATATATAAATAAACTAATAATTGAAATAATAATAAAAATTTTATATTGTAAAGAAATAATGTGAGATTTATTAAACAAATATTTTGGAGTAGACCTTCTCAGATCATCTGATGAAAAAATGTACAAATAGGAACATTTTTTATTTGTGAAATATTTTAGACTTTATTTAAGAAACAAAAAAAACAATATTTAAACATAAAACTTAGAATTTTTTGTTTTTCTTTTATTTTTGTCTTTTTGTTTTTTTTTTCTTATATATTATATAATTAAAAAGAAAAATGTAAATTTTAAAAATGATAATTAAAGAAAAATTTATTTTAACTTTTATATTAAGTATCATTATTAATAAATGTATGTATATAAAATTGAGTATATAATAAAAATAGTTTTTAGAATTTTTAGTAAATTCAATACAACTAAAAATTATTTATAAATCAATGCATTTAAGTGTTACAATAAATAATTAAAACGTATTTTAGGGTTTTTTTTTATAGGAAAAAAAGACAATTTAATTTCAAATCAACAAAACAAAACATATTAAATAAAAAAATATTAATATTAATAATTAAATACATAATTTCTCGTAAAACACAATATACAAACACAAAAACATTGAAAAAATAAAAAAAATAATGATATTTAATTATTGTAATTAATAAAGTAAAATCTTAATATAATAGATAATTTTATAAATTTCAATTTTAAGCAAAATATTTTGAAAACTAATGAAAATATTTTGATTTCTAAATAATACATTACTTAAATGCGAAATTTAAACAGAAATATGGGAAAAAATATGGAATTTTAATTGGTTTTTTTTTTTTAAATAAAAATTTCCTATTGTATATCGTACATAACTTAAAAATTAAAAAAATAATATACGTGTATATATAAGATTATTAAAATGAAATAATAATATTTTGTGTAATATAATATATTTAAAAAAAAAAAGAAAAAAAAAGTAATATAAAACTAAAACATATTAGAATCGATTTAATGTATCATAAAATAAATATAATATATTATTCAAATTTTATTGTATACATAAAATATTATGTATAAGAAATAATTTTGAAAAAGATTTATATAAAAATAGTTTAAAATATTATTACGATACATACATACGCATACACAATACAAATTAAAACAATTAACTTTATACATTTATATAATATATATTTTTTAAATTAGATACTTTAATGTAAATTTTATTTTAAATTTCTTTAAAATTTGAATAATTTTGTTGTAACAAAAATATTTTTAACTTAGCAAATTATAGAAAAACAAATAACCATAGTAGATTATAGAGCAAATTGAAAACAAAACAAAATAATTTAATAATCATTAATATAATCGTTATTTTTGACTCTAGTTGTTTTTCTTAACTCAAATTTAATGTATACAATAAACTAATATTTGAAAATTATAATTAATTTTTCTTGAAATTCAAATTATTTTACAACAATCTTTCTCCAAAAATTCCATTGGAATTTGTTAATTTTGAAAACCAAAATACTTTATGCATTTTTCAAGAATTTTCTATACTCTTTTAATTACTAAATAAGTATTATTAAAATTATTTGTAATAAATATGTAAATTAAATTTTGATCATAAGTTCAAATTGTACCAGGGTACTTTTATAAGAAAAATCTTTTTCAAATACATTATAACAATATAAATATTATATTATTAAATGTATTAAAATTACAGAGTATAATATAAAGAAGAAAAATTTATTTTTGAATTTTGATTCACATTTGAGATTGAAATTCTTAAGATGAAGATTTATCTTAAATATTTATATAACATTTAACAATTACTAACTAATAATATTGCAATTAATCATTTAAATTTAATAAAATATTTTGGATAAAAAAAACAGAATAATTTGAAATAAATCAGTTTTGAAAAGCTAGAGTCAAAAACAATCGTCCGTTTCTTTTAGTATACTACAAATATATTATTTTTTGATTATTTTAGACTTTTATTAAAATATAATATATCAAACATATATGCTAACTAGAAAAATAAATACACAAAACTTATAATTATATTTGTTTTTTTTTTTTTTTTTAATTTTTATTTGTATAATTTTCATATTGTTCAAATTAGAGAATTTTAGTTTAAATATTTTTGTTGATTTTTACATAATGTTTATTCAAAAGAATATAATATTCAGATATACATAATATATATATAAATGAATGATTTATTAAAATAATATTAAATAAGCTAAAAATACGGTTATATGGATGAAATTACTAAAAATCATATGTAATAGAAAAATCACAATTATCTGTTTTCTGTTTCATTACAAATAAAATAACAAATAAAACAACCTATCTATTAAATAAAATATTATTTTTGTCAAGAAGTGAAATGAATTAAATTAATATATAAATAATGTATGTATAAATAAATAAATGCATATATTAATATATATATATAAAAGAAATTAATTTTTTTTATAAATAATGTAAGTAATGTCTATTAAAAATCTAAAGAATTTTATTCAAAGATAATAGTTTGATATTTTAATTTTTTTTTTGTTTATGTAGAATTTTTCATTT